GAGGAGGAGGAGGAGGAGGAGGAGAAGGAGGAGGAGCGGAGGAGGGAGGAGGAGGACGAGGGGGACGCCGATTGCGCTAGGTTCGCGCCGTGTCGACGCGGCGGCGACCTGGACCCCAGCCCGAGCGTACAAGACTCGAACGCCGCTGGGCCGCAGCCACTGTCAGGCTTCTCGCCGCAGCCCCGCCGTCGTCTCCCCATCCCCGCGCCCTGCAGAGATGGCCGCCCGCCGCAGCAGCTCCCGCACCCTGGCCTGCCTCTTGCTCGCCGCCGCCGCGTCGGTCGCCGCGTGGTCGGCCTCGGCCGCCTTCGTGCCCGCCGGGGCCCAGCGCGCTGCCGCCGGCGCCGCCGTGGTTGCCGCGCTCCTGAGCCAGCAGGTGCAGCCGGCCCTCGCCAAGGACGTGCTGCTGTCTGCGACCGCGGACCCGGCCGAGCAGATTGCGGCGCCGCTGATCGACAACTCGAACCTGGTGGATCGGTACGATCGAAGATGGTTCGGGATGCGTTGTGGCGAAAACGGACAGCAGTGCCTGTCCTTTTTGCACGGGACTCGCTCTCGGCATCGCCGCAGACGTTGTTTGAAACAGGAGGCCGCTTGCCCAACAGCGAACGCTCTTGGTTTTGGACGACATTCGCTGTTGGGCATGGTACCCCCATGTTTTCCGTACAGGCACCCATTTCGGGCGTCCAGAGGTGAAGGGCGTGCCGTTCGCAGGGGAGAACGCCCCGCGGTATGCGCCCCAGACCACCCAGTCCGAGGACGAGCTGCTCTTCAGGGGCAACAACGGCATCAACGTGCTGGAGTATGTGCGGGCGAAGAACGGCTGGGTGGGCCAGATGCAGTTCGACTCTTCGGCGGAGGAGGAGTCCGCGAACAAGCTCCTGGAGAAGCTGCGCTGAGCAGGCGAGGCGCGCGGGGTCCACTTCGGTACGATCGATTCGAGTCGGCGTCGACATCGGCGGCAACATACGGCTCGGTGTTCGACACTGGGCGCCCTCTTGGTGGCCCCTCTCTCAGCGAGCGAAGAACGGTATAAAATAGACTCTCCGCCGTCGGGGACACTTGCCCCTGGGCGGCTGGAAAGTTTGTGCCCCTGCGGTGCCACCGAAAGGGTATAAACTTTCCAGCCGCCCTGGGGCAGGTGCCCCCGACGGCGAACAAGTTTATTTTATTCCGTTCTTCGCCCGTTAAGCCTCGGGCCCCGGGGCCTCCGGGGTGCCCTGGGTTTCTTGGGTGTCGATGGTTTTGCTATGGGGTACGTGACGCTCCCACGCCAGGAATCAAGGGACATCCTGGGGTCTCAGGGCTGGGTTTCCTCTGGAGGATCTCTTGTGGGCTGGCCCCCACTGTGGTGGCCTCAGCTCCGAGGCTGGGGTGGGGCACGTGATGCTTGGCAGTCGGGCGGAGGAAGACCGCAGCAACACCCGACCGCGTCGCCTCACCGGGAAGAGAGGGCTGGTGGTAGAGGGGATCTGATCCTCCCTTTCGTCGTTGTCGCCCCCCCCCCCCCCCTTGGGGCCCTGGGGACCATGGAAAAGGCGGCCTGGGATGCACATCTGGTGCTGGTGAACCTTCAGGGGTGGAGTCAGTTGAAGGGGGGAAATCGGCAAATGGGGAGGCCCTGTACGACATCTGCTGCGTGGAGCTGCTTTCGGCACCGCCGCGGGGCGCTTCCCTCGATACATGGCCGCCTCTGGCGCCAGAACGCACCTGGAAAAGCAGCTACGTCAGCTGAATCAAAGCCTCCCTCCGCACCGTTGACCCCTAGGGTGCCTTGGGGGGACTGCTCGGTTTTTTGGGGGCCGTCTTCGGGCGCTCCTGGTCCGTTGTTTGGTGCCCTCGAAGAGTGTTTCAGCGGCGTGTCTTGGACCGTTTAGAGATCTTCTCGGGCCTCCTTGGAGCCCTCATGCGCCGTCTGGGTGCCCTCTTGGAGGTTTGTGGCCTTCTTTGGGGTTTCTTGGGCTGTGTACGGTGTCGGGGCGATTACGAAGGCCTTACGGCCAGTGCCGCCGACCCCGTAGGCGGGACCTCTCCCGGGACTCCCTCTGGCGAGCCTCACCAGATACCTGCCTGGACCCCGCGGGGGCGGTGTTCTAATCCGGGGACCCCTTCTCCCTCTTTGCAAAGAAGGCAAAAGGGCAGGGGTTTCCCTTCGACTCAACTACGACGTGCCTTTTCCTTGTTTTTTAATTTCCTTGTGGCTGACGACGACGACGACGACGATAGAGTTTCTCAACCGCCAAAGGGTCGGCAGGTCACTCTCTGAGCCGCCCCGGCCTCTGGGGGCCCAATAGGGGGGGTAGCATCCTCCAGACGACGACGACGACGACGACGACGACGACGACGACGACGACGACGACGACGACGACGACGACGACTACTACGACGACGACGACGACGACGACAGCGTCTCCCACACGCCGAGGGTTTGGCGGATTTTCTGGGCCTCTGGGGCCGTCTGAGACGGTGCGAAGACCAAAGCTGCGAATATGCAAGATAAGAAACGATGCTTTCTTCAGAGATCGGGACGGTTCTTCTCTCCTGGGTCCTTCTTGGGAGTCTCCCTGGACTCCTCTGGGGGCGCCCTGGGGCCCTCTCGGGCTGTCCCCGAGGCCGTGCCGGAGCGCCGTGGGGCCAGCTGGGGCCACGCGGAGGGAGGTCACGTTGTGCCGTCTTGGGCCCTCCGCGCACGCCGCCTCGGACAGTCCGATCCCTGCACTTCAGGAGGACTATGGGCACTCACGGGTCTGCTCCTGGCCAGGACTTTAACCCTGGAGGCAGTCTCCCTTTGGTGAGCTTCAAAAGGGCCTTGTGACCCCCACTCTGACTATTGCGGGGTGGGGCACAGGGGGCACGAAATTCCCTGGAGGCCCGAACCCGCCAACACCCGCACCGCCGACACCAGAGAACCCTGCGTGCCGTCCCTCCTCCTCCTCCTCCTCCTCCTCCTCCTCCTCCTCCTCCTCCTCCCCCTCCTCCTCCCCCTCCTCCTCCTCCTCCTCCGCCTCCGCCTAAGCTAACGACGGAGGCCCTGCGTGATCCTCTGCTGGAGCGGGGACGGGCCGAAGCCCGCTTCTTCACGGACGGCGGGCGTCCGTCGAACAGCTAGAGAGGCAATCGTTTGAGCCGAGGGCCGCTGGTCGGCCCGGGAATCCCGGAGTCCCCCGAGCCATTCGCGTCGTGACGTCGTTCTCGCCTGCCGTCTTCCGCACGTTTCCGATTTTTCCGGCCCGTCTCGTCAATGGGGCCGGGGGAAGAGAAGGAGGAGGAAGATGAGGATTCCAGCAGACGAGGATGGAAGGAGGGAGCGACCATGTATCCTCAATGCAGTCAGGGCGCCTTCCACTCCAACAGGAGGGAGGAGGGGGAAGATGAGGCTGGGGGCAGGAGGGAGGAGGAGGAAGGAGGAAGACGGGAGGAGAAGGGACGGAGGAGGAGAATGAGGAGGATGGGCTGGGGTCTAAGTTGCTTTGCTTGCTTCTTGGCGAGAGGCGACCACGAATGATCTCATGCAGCAGCCCCGCTGGGCGGAGCTATGATTAGCGGCAGAGGCGGGCGGGCGCGAGCAAGCCGGAGGTTTTTCAATATCCACGCGGGCCTGGCGGACCGATCCAGAAATCAGCTCAGCCGGAGGAAGATGGAGATCGGCGGCGCACCCAGTGGGGAAGGCAGATGGGGGGGGTGCTCGGGAGGCTCAGCAAGGCCTCTGGTCGCTGGAGAAGCTTTCTGAGTCTTGTCTGACGCCACAGGGGGCTGCTCAGGCGACAGGGTGGCTTCTGAGAGATCCTGCCGCCCTCTGAGAGGGCCCGCCGCCTCTCGGCTCCCCCCCCTGGGCGCGCCGCCGAGGTGACGACGGGGAAAAGGACGATGAAGAGGGCGGTGTCGAAGAGGAGGATGGGGCGGGTCAGGGCGGGGGGGAGTGGCATCGGTCATTGGGTGAGGGGGGTGGAGGAGATCGAAGGACGAGGAAGAGGAGGTGAGGAGGAGGAGGAGGCGGCGGCGGCGGAGGAGGAGGAGGGACGTAGGAGAGGGATGGATGCTGCGGATCGGGCATGGGTCCTGCGGGGACGGCTGCCGCAGGGAAGCTGGGAGGAGAGCCCCGCGGCACCTCCGCCCCGCCCTCCCCTCCGCCCGCCCGCCTCTGGCTTCCCCGGCTGCCTCGCTGTGCCACATGGCCGGCGAGACTGCCGGGAAGGGGCGGGGCCCCCCAAGCACTGGGTGCAGCCAGGGCGACGACGACGACGACGACGACGAGGGGGGCGGAGGAGGAGGGGGAGGAGGGGGCGGAGGAGGAGGGGGAGGAGGAGGAGGAGGAGGAGGAGGAGGAGGAGGAGGAGGAGGAGGAGGAGGAGGAGAGGAGGAGGAATGGAGGAGGGGCTCGGGTTTGGGGGCCGTTCGCAGAGCTGGGTCGGGGAGAGCCCCTCCGTGGCCTCGGCTCGCCTTGGCCGGGAGAGAGCCCCGTGGTTTCGTGTGGCTCGGAGTTCCGCACGGTGGCACGACGGCCGTCTGTCCCAGGCAGGCGGGACGTGGGCGGGCGCGGGCAGGGAGGCAGAGAGGCTGCCCTGGGGACAGCCATCCAGTCCGTTGGAAGTCACCCAGCAGGCAGTGCGTGCAAGGGAGGAGGCAGGCCGGAGGAGGGAGGAGGGAAGGAGCGGGGGGGTGCTCGCGGGCGCTGCGGTGCCCGGCTAGGCGGCTCTACTCAGTACTCTTACCCACGTTGTGGCGGTTTAGGCAGTGCCGTAGACACCACAGCGTCGCGGTCCAGGACAAGAGGTCGAGCATCTGAGGGTGATGAGATCGACACCTGTTCCCTGTCCTCGTCCACCTGCTGTGTTTCCTCCTCCTCATCTACACTCTCCTCCCCCTTCGCTATATCGCCCGCTTGGGCCTCAGCGCCGTCATCCTCCTCGTCCTCCTGCGCCGCGTTCCCTGCTGCTGGAAGTGCCAGCGCCCTCCGCTGCTGCGGGTGTCCCCTGCTACGGACGAAGGCGCGAGGCCGCGGGGCTCAACAACTCTAACTACGACTGTGCTCATTCCCCCGCCCAGCCCGGATTGTTTGAACATTTGTTATGGTTTAGACGTGTCGACGTGTCTTGTTGTGAAGAGAGGGCGCGGGTGGTGGGGTGGGGGGTGGGGTCGTGGGGACCACTTGAAGACCAGCCCACGGGCACATAGTTGCTCGCAGGCCCGTGGCTCCTTGTGATGGTCCCAAACACATAGTTTTCGTCCCCTGGCATTCTGTGGCGCCTGCTCGAAGCATGTGCTTCGCTCGCGTACATGTGGCGTTCACAGGATGATGATGATGATGATGATGATGATGATGATGATGATGATGATGATGATGATGGTGATGGTGATGGTGATGGTGATGATGACGATGACGATGACGATGATGATGCTGATGCTGCTGATGATGATGGTGATGATGATGGTGATGCTGCTGATGATGCGGATGATGATTATGATGATGCTGATGCTGATGCTGCTGGTGATGGTGATGATGACGACGATGGCGATGCTGATGATGATGCTGATGCTGCTGATGATGCTGTTGCTGATGATGATGCTGACGATTATGATGGTGATGATGCTGGTGATGCTGATGATGATGCTAATGATGATGCTGATGATGATGCTGATGATGATGCTGATGCTGATGATGATGAGGATGCCGATGACGATGATGCTGATGATGATGGTAATGATGATGCTGATGTTTATGATGATGCTGATGATGATGCTCATGATGATGCTGATGATGATGCTGATGAGGATGATGCTGCTGCTGCTGATTCTGATGATGCTGATGATGCTTCTGCTGATGATGGTTATGATGATGATGATTATGCTGCTGATGATGATGATGCTGATGCCGATGATGATGCTGCCGATGATGATGACGATGATGATGATGCTGATGATGATGATGATGATGATGATGATGATGATGATTGTGATGCTGATGATGATGACGATGCTGATGATGGCGATGATGGTGATGACGCTGATGATGATGCTGATGATGATGCTGTTGATAATGATGATGATGCTGATGATGATGCTGATGCTGATGATGATGATGCTGATGATGATGCTGATGATGATGATGATGGTGGTGGTGGTATTGGTGATGGTGATTCTGATGATGCTGATGATGCTGATGCTGCTGATGATGATGACGCTGACGATGACGATGTTGATGATGCTGAGGATGCTGATGCTGCTGATGATGTTGATGATGATGATGGTGCTGATGATGGTGATGGCGGTGACGATGCTGCTGATGCTGCTGATGCTGCTGATGATGATGCTGATGATGATGCTGCTGATGCTGCTGATGCTGATGTTGCTGATGATGAGGTTGATGATGATGATGATGATGATGATGGTGGTGATGATGATGATGCTGCTGATGAGGATGCTGATGATGAGGATGATTATGCTGATGATGATGCTGATGATGATGGTGGTGGTGGTGATGATGCTGATGATGATGATTGGGAGGAGGATGAGGATGAGGATGAGGAGGAGGAGGAGGAGGAGGAGTAGCGGAGGAGAGAGGGGAGAGAAGGAGGACGAGTAGAGAGGAGAGAGGCGGAGGAGAGGAGGAGGAGGAGGGAGGAGGATGAGGAGGAGTAGGAGGATGAGGAGGAGGAGGAGGAGAGCAGTGTGGAGGGGAGGAGAAGGAGGAGGAGGGAGGAGGAGGCGGAGGAGTAGGATGCCAGAGGAGAGGAGGAGGAGGAGTGGGAGGCAGGAGAGGAGGATGAGGAGGAGGAAGAGGAGGAGGAGGGAGGAGGAGGATGAGGGGAGAGGATGAGGGAGGGGAGGAGGAGGAGGAGGGAGGTGAGGAGGAGATCGAGGAGGATCGAGAGGGTCGAGGAGTAGGAGGAGGAGTCGGAGGAGGAGGAGGCTACTGCATCAGTGCTTGCCGCGCCGGCGTGGTTCTCTTCGGCGCGCCGCGGCGCTCGCGGGCTGGTGCTGGTGCTGGTGCCTGCGCGCACGGTATGTGGTGCTCAAGCGCGTGCCGAGTGGATCGCATGGCGTTGCGGCGTCTGCAGGTTCCCCAGGCAGCATTCATTACTTTGATGGGCTTGTTTTCCACCACCACCACCATAAGTTGGAGGGGGGAGGGAGATGGAGGACGAGGAGGAGGAGGAGGAGGACGAGGATGAGTAGGATGAGTAGGAGGAGGAGGAGGAGGAGGAGGAGGAGGAGGAGGAGGAGGCCCCCCTCCACCTCCACCTTATGGTGGTGGTGGTGGTGGTGGTGGTGGAAAACAGGCCCATCATTACTTGGCATCGCTCGGACATGTGTGCGTCTTTGCTTGGGGCAAGGACCATCGATGAGAACCCTGGGCCACCTGGCATACAACACAAGCACGCGCACGACACCGAAACATGCACGGGGTAACTTGCCGTCCGAGCGATGGCAGGTTTAGGTGGCCCTGGGCCTTACTCCCGAAGGGCTTGACGACTTTTCGCCAATCGACTTGCGGGGATCGAGCCATACAAATCCAGGCCAAAGAAGACGAATCGAGGTATATCCGTGTACATTTGGGTCAACCCAAGTATTTCAAGAAATCTCCAGGAGCATTTAGAGCAACTCGTGGCCGCTACAGCCCGAGTTGAGAGGGACGCCAGACGTCGTTCAGCCCTTACAGTGGGGGCCCATGTCAAGAAGCATCCTGTGTGCCCCCCCAGGGTGCGCTGGGCTTCTTGGGCTTCGATGGTCTTGCGATGGAACGCGTGACGCTCCCACGCCAAAAGTCCATGGACGTCCTGGGGTCTCAGGATTGGGATTCTTCAGGAAGATTTCTTGTGGACTGGCCCCCACTATGGTGGCCTCAGCTCCGAGGCTGGGGTGGGGCACGTGATGCTTGGCAGTCAGGCGGAGGAAGACCGCAGCAACACCCGACCGCGTCGCCTCACCGAGAAGGGAGGCTTCTGGTGGTAGAGGGGACCTGATCCTCCCTTTCGTCGTTTTCGGCCCCCCCCCGCCCTGGGGCCCTGGGCCCTTCGGACCTCCTGGGGCCTCAGGGTTGGGCTTCCTGTGGGAGGCTTCTCGCCGGCCCCTGGTGGCCGGAACGCTCTTGCGATGGAACGCTTCAAGCCGGCCCCTGGAGGCTTCGGTGGTCCTGCGATGGAACGCGTGACGCTCCCACACCAAAAGTCCATGGACCTCCTGGGGTCTTCAGGGTCTGCGAGGAGGAGGGGGAGGAGGAGGAGGAGGAGCAGGAGGAGGAGGAGGAGGAGGAGGAGGGAGCAGCAGGAGCGGGAGAGGAGGAGGGAGGAGGAGAGAGGAGGAGGAGTGAGGCGGAGGAGGAGGAGGCTTGCCGTGGGAGGTTCCCCGCCAGCCACCGGCGGCCGGCGCGGCCCCCCCCTCCCCCCCCCTGGCGGCGCGCGCCCCGCCCGCGGAGCCTCAGAGGAGCGGGGCTGGTCGAAGGAGGCCCTTTGGGGCCCCGCCCCGCCCCCCGCCCCGCCTCCGCCGCCCGCCGCCCCCTCACCTGCCTTCCCCTCGGAGGAGGAGGAGGAGGGGGAGGAGGAGGAGGAGGAGGAGGAGGAGGCCCCTCCCCCTCCCCCATCCCTCTTCACAATTACACAATATGAAAGTACTCTCCCACTTCCCCTGATGGCGTCCCGAAGATATCCGACACCCCCCCGCGTATTGTTTTTTTGCACACAGGATTCCCGGGAAACGGGTTTTCGCTTGTGTTTTTCTCAAAATGCTGCTCTCGCCGAGGCGCCGGCCTCATTTTCGGGCCCCGCTCGTTCCGAATCGTGCTCCCGCTGCAGCGCTGGCCTCATTTCCCTGCTTTCGCTCGTTCCGAATCGTGCTCCAGCTGCAACGCTGGCCTCATTT